AAAATACCAAATGGATTCGTCAAGCAGTGAGGATGATTTTTTTGCCCTCTCTCTTATTCTCTCTAACAACACTGAATCTACAATTGCTTGAATTTTGATTTGCAAAATAAAAAAATTATTAAAAAAAACAATCTGGATATCAAACTATTGACAACAAGGTTGCCAAAAACCACAAACTCCGTAAAATGGGTATGAAAAAACAAAATAATAATTTTGCCCTGTTGGTCATTTAATTGTTCGAGAAAAAAGGCCCAATGTTAATTTTTTTCCAGGCCATTTTTTTTACTCTATTTGTGAAAGTTTCTTATTTTGTGTGACGCAGTATTTTTTGTAGTTTTGTACCAATTTTGAATCAGACAAACAATGATTTTGTTGATTCCCTATTGCATTCATGCCCAGAATATACATGAATTAAGATACACAATAAGATGTCTCTGCTGAAAAGTCAGCACTCAGATGCAAAAAAGTTTTTTTTAATTTTTTTTTATTTTTATTTTTTCTTTTTTTTTCTTTAGGGTATTTTGAGGTAACCAGGAGGAAACCTTCCATTTGGCCTATTACACAACATTTCCAAATTGTGCTGTATGGGAAATTATATAATAAAAACACTTCAAATCTCATCCACCCTCTGGGAGTGAAAATTTCTGCAAAAGAAAAATAAATCTCCTCCCTGCCCACAGCTGCCATCACTAGGGCCTATTAGGACGGAAAAGGAAATGTCTGTATAAACTATAGTTTGACATCTTTGAAAAAATTGAAATTGAATGTGCCTTGTTGTGTCAGCACTGCAGTCAACTTCTGATTGAATTTCCATCTCAGACTTTAAGCTGTAGTCCATTTAAGGTCATTCAAACCATTTTCATTATGAGAGCTAATCTTACTAAAATTGGTGCCCACGTTGTTTAGCCTTTTGTTAGTAGGTTTTGATTTTTCTTTTTGGTCACAGTCCAATTTGCCCAAAATTCAGGAGAATGCATAATTTGCACCTGAGTGTGCATGCACATAACAATGTGATGTTAAATTTAAATGCTTTTTTTGGCCTCCATTTTTGGCCAAGTGTAATTAGGCCATGTATAATATATTTATAATATATTATATCTTCAAACATGTATCTTGTAATTTCTTTGCCAGTAACATCAACCAAGTAGCCTGGTTAAAACCAGACCATTCTCAGTTGTAACCGAGTTATGGTCTGGCAAAGATCATTTCATAGACAAATCATTTCCAAAGGGTCGTCACCAACGTACGTAGCTCAAATGCCTCTGGGCGCAATTGGATAGAACTAAAACCAATCAGAGCGATGAATGAGATGAAATATGCGGAGCGATGTTCGTCTGTCATAGAACAACTTAGTTTGAACAGAGAATGTCTAATATGGATGGGCTTATGTGTATTTAAAATTAACAGCAAGACAACTAGAAGTGAATGTGCTTTCCACATTTTTTTTTCTGTCATGTAAAATTGATTGATTGTCTTTTGTATCAATGTATCAGATGTGCTGTAGGGGCAGAACAATTTTCTGAGAGTATAAATAAATAAATCTAAATCTATAGTAAACAAAACCTTAACAAAAAAACACTTTGCCATGAACTCTGCAATATAGATACCTGTTGCCGGTGCAGTGAGATGTTATGTTATAGCCTACATGCTCGGGCAGATTCGGCTTGAAGTCGTTCATCCTCGGACACTGTGCCACGTGCGCTGTTATAAAAAAGCCGTGCACACAGCCAAGCGAAATTGGGGTTCTCAATGGGTCCTGCACACTATAGAAAAGGGTTTCAGAATTAAGTTCGGTTCTCATCTGCCCAGATTTCTAGAGGTCCTCCTCACAGTGGTGGACCTAAGAGCAGTCTTTGGTTATGGAGCAGGAAGTACTGACACTCCTGCTGTAGAAGGAGCTGTAGAGGGGGTTCCTCCTCCCTGCAGACAGCCATTACTTCATTGTTTCTGAAAGAGCATGAGGTGTTGCGTCCTACTCTAGACCTGTGTCAATTAAACAGCAGGTTTCAGAATCTCAAGTTCAAAGTATGCTTGCGCTAAATATGATTGTGTCACAGATTCAGTCCGAGGACTGGTTTGTCACAATAAACTTAAGGGACGCTTACTTATCTATCCATCCTCATCACAGGAGGTTCCTGAGGTTTGCTTTCGGGGGTGAAGCATACCAATGTCGGGTTCTCCCATTCGGCCTATGTTTATCACCCCACACCTTTACAATATGCGTGGATGCAGCTCTGGCTCCTCTGAGACTTCAGGTGTCGCATTCGCGTATTATACTATATCAATGATTGGTTGGTCCTTGCTCAATCTGAGCTTATGGCAGTTCGGCATCGAGATGTCGTTCTGTCTCATTTAAAGATGTTGGGGGTTGCCGCCTAACGCCAAGAAGAGCATGCTCTGAGGACCACTTTTGTAGGTGTAGCAAATTTTCAGACTGGTGGGTCTCATGGCAGCTGCGTCCAACATAATTATTGTGCATGACCTTCTGTACATGACCTTTTGAACTTCTGTACATGAGACCCCTGCAGTGGTGGCACAGGATCAAGGGGTTTCTCCGAGGAGAAATATGTTTTCACATGATCAAGGTCACACGACTATACCTTTGTGCCTCGGTCACGGAACTTGGTTCCTCTCCCAGGCCCAGTATTAGGGGCTTCTTGTCGATGCATAATGCTATCGACGGATGCTCCCCCTCACAAGTTGGGGGTGATCATGAGTGGTCGCTCGGTGAATGGTATTTGGCAGGACCATCTACCTTTTAGCACATAATTGGCTAAAAGTGATGGCGTTAAATCTTAATACTTCCTGCCAGACCCGAGAGGTCACCATGTGCTTGTCCTTTCGGATAACACACCGATGGTCCTGTATATCAGAGCAGATATCCTGTTGAGGCAGGGGCCGAGGCCCAGGGAATGGAGACTTGTTTGAGCTTCTTAGGGAGAACTTTGGTCAAACTAAAATCAAGTCGACCTTTCACATCGTTTGTACAACGCATTGCTCTATTTGGGCTCCGCTTGGAATGGATGTGATGTATTAGGTGTGGTTGATGCTACACCGGTACGAATCCTGGGTGTTCACCCTCATTTGGAGTTTTGGATACTGTGGGCTCGGCCTCTGAGGGGGCCCGGCTCATAGAATCCGGTCTCTCGACTCCGGTTCTCCAATCCAGAGCTCCTTCCACGAGAAAACTATATGGGAATTATCCTCCACCTGGTGTGGTGAACGTCACCGAGACGTTCCCTGTGGCGTAGGTCTAAGCAGTTATTTGTCTGCTTTGGGTCACTCAAGAGAAAGTGCCCTGCATCGAAACAGGTAATGAGCAAATGGATGGTTTAAAGCCAATGAGATAGTCATAAGCCAATGAGACCATGTCATTGGCTTATGAAGCGGCCGGACAGCCTTCACCTATGGCTGTACGGGCCCATTCTACAAGGAGTATGGCGGCCTCTATGGCTTTAATTTCGGGTGTTTCCCTTCTTGACGTTTGTAATGTGGCTGGATGGTCCTCTCCGCATACATTTGTCAGGTTTTATTACCTAGACCTCTCCACTCCTGGGGCAAGGTTTCTAGCTTCTTAGTGTGCGCAAGGACTGTTTTCAGTGGTGCTTTATAGTTTCCTGGACTAGGACATCACCCGCCTATGACACAATTCCTGACGCAATCACGCAGAGCGTTCAAACCAAGCTGTTTTCAATAATTTATAATACCCAAAGAAAGCCATACATTCCCATTCATCTCAGTGGGAGCTATCGCACATGAGGTAATTGTATTGTTTGTTTTTTTTATTAAATCTGCCAACAAATAGCAAAGGCACAGTTCACCCGTGAAAATGATAATTTACTCATGTCGTTCCAAACCAGTATGGCTTTTTCTTTGCAAAATATAACAAGATTTCCCTCATTCACATAATCATAATGATTGATTATTTGAAATATTATTAAAATCATGATGAAGATAATCTATTGATTTGTTATTGATTTGTAGAATTGAAGGAACTAACATCAGAACAATTGCTTTTTTTTCAAAGTGTATTTATTGGAATTTTGTGGAGATACATCTTGTATATCTCCTCTGTTCCTAATAGACAACCACACAACACATACAACAAGTACAAATCAGTAAAAAATTGTTTTGTTTTTTGAATATCTCACTTGGGTACCTCACACTTACAGAGGTGAACTTCAAAGTGGGATGGGAGGAATAAATCCAAAAAGCTTGGAAACATTCACGAAAGATCTCTTAACTTCCCAAAGGTTACGCTTTTCAGAAAAACTGCGTTAAAAAAAAAATACTACAATTTTCATAATGCCTCCTCGTTTCTGAATCTCTAATGGAGGTCATGTAGCCCTGGAACAAATTGAGATGAAGAGTGTGAGCTCTCTAGCTATTCTCTGTTGTTCTTTTTTTCCCTCTTTCTATCTCTACCATTTTGTTACACCGATCCATCCTAATGAGAGAGCTCTTCATGTTGTTTTATTAGGGTCGGAAACTGTATCTGTACCCGAGTTTTGACACAACCCTCCATTATTAGATGACTGGACCCATATATATACACACATATAGTGCCATATGTCTCTCTTTTTTTTTTGTGAGCATGCTCAGACTTTCAACCCAGTTAAATAACATTACCTTGGTGTCATATTCAAATCTAAATAATTTGTTACAACAATAATACATTACTAAAAATATATATATATATTATTGATCCAAACTGAGTGAGATTTTAGGGAAAAGAGGAAGACAAATGAATGGAAAGCAAACTGATGGATTACGTTCGGAAACGGAAGGGGTTGTGTTCCTGTGTAGGGAAGTTTGATCATTTCATTTTCTTGGAAGGGCTCACTACGTTACATCATTGTTTCAATAAACCGAGATCTGCCTTGACAAAGATAAAGACCGTTCGAGATACACTGTGATTAATTTTTATGGTACGTTGATGAAAACTGTCCATCATAACCACATTCATTTTCTTCGTTCTGAACCGTTTCCTTTGTTGCTAGAACAGCCAAACTCAGAATAAGCAAGTGTGTGGGAGCGATGTCAGAAGTGGAGCCCAGCTGGTGTCATATCCTTCATGAACTATAAAAGGTAATTTGCACTGTCAGCCATCTCCAAGCTGCACATTTCCTCAACATTAACTGTGTGATTAAAAACCCATTCTCCCTCTAATTCTGCAGTTAAGCACCTTCTTTTACTTTGTCTTTTTCTTCTGCCTAAAATCTACTAATCTGTCTGCTGACGTATATGTCCACTTTGGATAATTATTCTGACTGCTGCTTGGAATGTTTTAATTAAAGGAATGATTGCAGTGGGATAAGGAATGCTGATTGGAATAATTTACAGTCCAGGCGAAGAATGAATAAAGTTGCTGTGCAGGATAATGCAGTTGTCTGTTTTAGCCTATGTAAATGATTTCTTAAATTACTTGTTAATTGTGTCAGCTAACTGATTATCACTGTGTTTCCACATCACTGTTAATTGTATTGGATCTTGCACATACAAAGAAAACATGCATAAAACAGTCATTATTGTGTCTTTTAAAGCTTCAGGACACCCTAATGAGACTATTGTTCCAGACTATGTACTAAAAGTACTCTAGCAGTATTTACAGAATAGCCTCTAATTACATTTCCTTCACTCAAAAATGAACTTGTTATTATTCACCCTCATATGCTTGTTTGTTTGTTTGTTTTAATATCAATAATAGTTATACTAATAATTGATCATGCATTTTGGAATACAATAACTGTCATGTAGCTCTTTTCTATTCAACAAAAGTTCATTTTTGACGTCTGTCAATATAAAATAAGTAAAAAATGGTGAATGTGTTATCATTATGTTTAAAAAAAAATCCTTTCACATGGCATAATCTTTCTTGCTAACTATCAAGTTTATGGTCATTGATTGGGCCTGTACAAATACCCACACTTGAGATCTTGGCCACTTGAGAGCATGTGCATGCAACAGGAAGTAAGTGCACAAGACTGTCCTACATCTTAAAGGGTAACTCTTACCAAAATTGATCCTGGGCTCTTTTTGCTAATCTAACCGAGTCAAACTTTTGTGCAAAAGCGTAATTAGAAAGAAAACGCCACTTTTAATATGGATCGTATTTTCATTTTAGGTCAAATTGCCTTTTGAACGCAAGTGCATGGGGCACTTATTTATTATATTTTATTTAACAGTTAGGGACAATGTCCAATATACTGTACCAGATTTAGCTAAAAGCTAATGCCCATCTTCAGTCCCTGGGCAGGTGCCAAAAGCGTGCAAAATATTACAATAACCAACTTATAAAATACAAATATAAAAATAAAGTTTCTATGATACAGTATAGTGCATGTGGCACTTCTATACATGCTTTTTAAAACACTATGGCTCGACAAAGCACTATTGTACTCCTTGTGCCTTCCTAATATACTCCTTGCGCCTTCACGAAGGTGGTCGAGGCAGCCCCTGTTCCTCCATGGGAACTCGAGGTTCGCATTCTGAACTATCTTGGCTTTTCTAGTTCACTCCCAAGACCAGGTCTGCGAACACAGGGACCCAGTGCTCCGGCACCTAGCTCGTCTGGGCCTTCGGGTCAACTGGTAAAAGAGCCCCGTGCAGAGGATTTGCCCCGTGCAGAGGATTTCTTTTCTCGGTTTTGTCTCGGTCGCCTTCTCCACTCAACCACTGCTGACATACCTGGCAAACAAGCGCAAGAGTGCGGCTCCACTGAAGTTATTTCAGAGGCTCCTGGGGCATATAGCATCTACAGCCACGGCAACGCGGCTCGGATTGCTACATATGAGACCGCTTCAGCTTTGGCTTCGCGACTGAGTCCCGAGGTTGGCATGGCAACACGGCATGCTTCGAGTACCAGTTACTCCAACCTACACCCTGTGGTCGAACGTCAGTTTTCTACAGGCTGGAGTGCCCTTAGAATGCTTTTCCAGGCACAGGCTGGGGCGCCATGTGCAATTGACATGCTGCTGCGGGCTACTGGACAGGACCCCAGCACCTATGGAATGTCAATTGACTCGAGTTGCTGGCAGTACGTCTCACTCTGCACTGCTTCCATGCGCTGCTCAAGAACCAGCACATACTAGTCCGATCAGACAATACCGTGACAGTAGCATACATCAACTGACAAGGTGATCTACATATGTCGCAACTTGCCTGCCACCTCCTCGTCTACGTTTTCAACTGGTGCTTTTCTCACGAGAAGACCCCCGGAGATGTTCGATCAGTGTCGTGCTTTCCTTCCTTCAAGATGGGTTGGAGCGAAGGCTGTCTCCCTCCACCCTCAAGGCTATGTTGCTGCTATTGCTGCACACCATGAACCAATTGAAGGTAAATCTGTTGGGAAGCACAACCTGATCGTCAGGTTCCTGAGAGGAGTGAGGAGACCGAATCCTCCTCGCCCTTCTCTCGTTTCCTCTTGGGACCTCTCAGTGGTTCTAACTGCCCTGCAGAGTGCTCCCTTTGAGCCTTTGCAATCAGTGGAGCTTAAGTTCCTGTCAATAAAGACAACGCTCCTGGTTGCATTGGCCTCCATTAAAAGGGGAGGGGACCTGCACGCATTCTCTGTTGACAAAGCGTGCCTGGAGTTTGGGCCAGCCTACTCTAATGTGATCCTGAAACTCCGGCTTGGAAATGTGCCCAAGGTTCCTACCACTCCCTTCCGGGACTAGGTGGTGAACCTGCACGCTCTGTCCCCGGAGAAGGCAGGCCCAGCCTTGCCACTGCTCTGTCCAGTACGCACTCTTCGTGGCTAGGTGCCCTCCTCTGAGCGACCCCCACATGTGTATTTCCACTGTAAGCCTCTCTGAGCATGTGTCTTTACACATTGCCACCCCTGGGGTTGAAATATTCCACCTGAGGCTTGACACTCCAGTGTTTCTCCATATGCTTCCTTCGGGTCATATGCATATTCTCCAAGTCCCCTCCACTGGATTGGCTGCAATTGCATATTTTCTCTAAACTATGGGATATGCTCCCCAGTGTACCTTGGTTTTCCTGTGCTAAATAGGAGTCCTTCGTCCGTGTCAGTCTCACGACAGTGTTCTCAGATTTAAGCAGGGCACTGAAAGACAGCTGTGAAGGTGGCGTGATTAGACTGGTAACCCCATTTGTCGTCATATTGACATTTAAACGTCAATATGACCTATGATACATTTTGGTTGCTTGGGTGTTTGGGTTCCTTTTTGAAATTTTATAAAATAACCGCTTGACAAATCCCCCCTTTTGTGTGTAATTGACAAGAATAAATGCATGCAGGTTTAAAAAGACATGATCGGGAGCAAATAATAACAGAATTTCATTTTTTTGTCTGGACTATCTCTTTCTGGACCATCTAAGGGTCATGAAACCCCAAACCAAATTTTCTGAGATTTTAACAGAGGTATGTGTGTTGAACAGCATTGATGACAATGTTAGCATCTGTTAGATTTAATAGTAGGGTTAAAATGGTTGAATTTGAGTTTTTTTTTCTCTTTAGTTGTCTTTAAAATCTTCATCGTGTCCACGTCGCAGGCTGTGACGTAGCTGTGCACTGTGAGTGCTTGATGACTCATCGGTGTCTCATAATTATTAAAGAGACTGAGTTTTCATATCCTATGAGAAGACACTGTTTTTTAATTATTCATGACACCACAGGATCTTTCCAATGACAGACATGTCAAACTGTGATATCGCGTAGTTGATGAAAGAGGCAATCAAGGGATGCAAGTGTTTGTTTTCATGGTGCAAATGTCCAAGTGGGTTGAATATGTTTCCCCGCGATGCTGCCAGGGCTAGATTTGGCTCTGGACGGTTGGTTTGCCATCAACCATGGACACATATAAGCAGTCTATGATCTAAACTAAACTGTGTGCCGCAAACATTTTTGAGAGAGAGCTGCGAGAAGTGGAGAATAGTGGACTTTGCCTTGTTGACAACCAACACAAATTGCGTGTTGCGAGTGACGCGGTACCAAGTCCCGAGGACTTTTCTATCCCTTCAGAGGTGTGTATGTGTGCATTTTTTTCTTTATTATGAGGGGGGGCGCATAGATCTAGGCTATGCACGGAATGTTTTTTTAAAGCGGAAAATGCATAATTTTCAAATCGATTTATAGTGTCTATATAAACCACCCAAATATTTTATATAATGACATTATAATTATACATGTAGCCTACATTAATATGTTTTAAATAAAATTTAAATAGAATTGCCAGCTATATATATATAAAAACTCTAGCATTTCCTTACGTTTTACCACTACTTTTTAGTGACAGTCGATATGCATGGGACACTGGCGATGACCGTGATGGGCATACCACACCCACTCCCCTCCCTTCTTCTCACTGCTATCCACACCCATTTAAGTTGTATTTTTCAAAAAGATTGTGAGCTAGACTTGAGCTAAAAGAGGGGGGTTTCATGACCCTTTAATCTGCATCAACCGGAGAGATGAGAGGGCAGTCCTGTGCTTTAATTGCCTGATGTCTGAGTTAATCTGGGTATGTGGAGTCAAATTCCCCTCCTTTTGGGGAAAGAGCTGTTTGCCTTACGGACAGTCATTAAGGACCTGACGGGAGAATTAAATATTCATGGAAATAGCTCTGCACCCTTATGCGCTTTCCTCCAGAAGATATCTCCAGAAATAAGTTAGATCCCGTTTAACAGAGCTATTTTATAATGCATGTGTTTGGTGCAGTTGTAAAGAACAAGGTGAATGGCGCGAGCGAAATTTACAATTTGCCAGAAAGAGAAATATGTGCTCCTCGCCAATGAAGGCAAAGCTGCCCGGCATTCACTTGTTGCTGCAAGGTCTTGTGAAGATCAACCTATCATGTCCCGAATTCTCTTGCGTCTGATGTATTGTTTATGATGAGCCTGACAGGATGCTCTGTGTTTTTCTCTCGCGCTCCCTCATTCATTTATGATGCCGAAGCTGGACTAGGTGAAGGGTTTGATATCATCAAAGGGCCTTATGGCCATGACTGTGACCTTGAGTACGGTCTGTATCGTATTTCTTTCCTCTCCCTCTACAGTTCTCTTTCAAGCTGTTCCTCGTTCTCGTTTTACCTTTCTCTCTTTTTCATTTATTTATATAACGTACA